CCCCCGAAAAGATGAGGGGGCACACAGGCAAGATCAAAGTAACAGACAAGGGGAGAGTTTGTTGTGGTTTATTTTCTGTGTGAGCAGAGTTTCTGTAAGTCTGGTCAGGGAAACTGTGAGAGCTCTACTGAAAGCTTTCTAATGGTATTTTGGTATCCTGGATTGTTATTTTCTTTGTCTCCTCCTCCTCTTTGTTGTCCCCTTCTCTGTACCAGATGTTCCAGCTGGCATCAGTGTGCACTGGCATGGAAACCACAATCTCTGCTTTTACTTACTTAACCGTCCACTCAAGGAGAAAGTGGGTAAGAAAGTCTTGTTTCCTTGCAGAGCACTCTGTGGGGAGTGGGAGTGTTCAGTGGCCAGTGGCTGTCATTCAGTCTGATCTTCATGATTCAGGGAAATGAGAAATGGGGAGCAGAGCTGCCCTGTATCTTCTAGGTTAGGCTGGATTATAGGGCTCCATGTTGCACAGGCTGGCAGTACTTTGAGTGAAGCCACTGTGGCAGAAGACTCCAGAATGGTGCATGTTTTATTGCGAAACTGGAAGCTGGTACCATGAAGGAGGATGCTTTGCACCTTCCTACAGTTATCTGTCTTCATGTCCTTCTGTTGTGCAACTGATCCAAAACCTGATGTTGTGTGGCCATGTGCAGCTCCGATTGCATGCTCGGCTGTCAGCTCTTGCTCCAGGTATCTGGCACTGGCATGTGAAGATGCAACAATAACTATTTGGGATAAACACCTAGGTGAGCTTGCCTTTTGGGAACTATGTATTGGGATCACAGTAGATAAATTACTCCCTTTCCTTGGAGTCTGACGCTCTGGCTTGGTGTGAACAGGGGACTGGCAGTGGGTTTACAAGCAAATATGAACACAGTCCGGACTCACTTCTTCATGGGATGCTTGGCCAGCAGCTGCCAGTGCAGTGTGACTGCCTTAACCCTGACAGAACCATTCCCATCCGCAGCAATGCAGGGGCTTTGAACTGCTGCAGAGAGGACTGAGGCCTGTCTTGCCCTGAGATCATCTCTGAGACTGTTGTGGCATCCCAGTCCAAGCTGCCATCAGTGCTAGTGTCAGCCTGCCATGATGCAGTGATTCTCCCGAACAATAGTTCTGGTGGCTGCTGTCCCTTAGCAGGCCTTAGTCCAAGCTAAGTTTTCCTTGGATAAATTGCCAGTTCCTTTTCCTTCCTAAACTGCTATCTTTTTTTTTCTCTCCCCCAGGATACCCACTGTCTGTGACTGCCATTCTAGAGGAACGTCTCATCCGTAGTATCCACTTCCTGCGGCATTCTGCAGATGCCAGTGATGAGACACCTTGTCCTGGTACAGATCCTGCCTGTCCCATTGTGCAGCTTCTAGTGCTATGTACAGACAGCTCTTTGTACTTGGTGAAAGCACCGAGGGCCAGGCAGTCCAGCATCACACTCCTGGCAGACAGGTGAGGTAGACTCTGATAGGCCTCACCCCAGCCAAAGAAACCTGTGTTATAGTGGTCAGATCCAGCAAGGAGGCCCAAATTTCTGAGGGGAAGAGAACTTCTGCTTTCACCCAGATAGCTCTGCTGTGCTGTTGTCAGCAGCAAGTGTGGTTTTCCTAGGAGTCAGTTCCAGTGCTAAAATCCAATGGTTCTGCTGGCATTAGGGGTGTTTCTGGTTTCTTCCCTGCACTAGAACACAAGTGCTTGTAGTACTGCACCCAGGGGTGATATTCAACTAAATGGGTTTCTGCCAGGTATCCAGGAGAATTTTTTCTTCTCTCTTCTGCCCTTGCCAGAATAACTTCCCCCTAGAAGTCAGAATAAGCATTTCTCACTCACTCCCTATCAGTTTTATGCTCACTTATCCCCTTGGTTTGAGGAGAAGGGTCAGCTTTGGGGAAGCTGCTGCTTTCCTAGCTATGGTTTCATGTCTCCATGACAGGCAGAGAATTTATATCTCCAATATTGTTCCTTAAGCAGGTATGCAAAGGACAATCCTTGGGGGTTTCCTGCCCAGGAGGAGACAGGCTTTGTTGCCACAGGGAAGGGGTTTGGCTGGAACTTTATGCCAGCCCGTGTACCACAAACTACCACTGTCATTACTACAGCCTCTCAGTACATGCCAGGTACATGAAACAGTAGTATAAGTCAAGTCTGTTTTACAGGCCTGAAGATCCAAACCTTGCTGTCAGCGCAGTGGTGCCTGTCCTGGCATTCCCCAGTGCTGTGAGTATTGCTGTCAGCTCTCTTAAGGGAACACAGGTCCCTGGCCTAGGATCCTGTTTCCAGTAATGGCTGTAACTGGATGCCTAAAAGATAAAGAACAGAGCAATCAGATATGGTGCTGCCCTCACATCCTTTCCCAGCCTCCAGCTTTTTTTAGCTCAGGGACTTCCTGCACTAGTTACAGACCTATATGTAGCTGGTAACTCTCAAAGCATTTTTCTTCCATGATCTTACTATCAACTTGCACTCGTGTCCTCTAATGAGGTGGGAGGCACTGGAGGCCCTGTGCACGTGGGCATGTCCAGCTGCAAAGATGAGAGGGTCCAGACACAAAGCTTCAGGCATCGGGATCAAATAGGAGAGGGCATCATGATGAGGAGAAGTTGCAAGCACCAGTCCAGCCAGGCCTTTCAAGTGGCCTCCAAGTTCTCCAGGTTTCAGGTGGCGTGGAGAGAAAAGGACTAAAAGCTGCTCGCCAGAGCCGGCCATACAGGAGGCTGGATCTATTTAATTTCTGCCCTGCCCTGCTGCCCCTTTCCAATCCAACCTGCAGCAATTCCAGTTCAGGTTCCCTGCACGACCTGAGCTTGGTCTGCTGTGGGCCTGTGACTACTGGGCAGGCAAAGAAAACAGCATCATTGCTGGGGATGTGAAGTCCTGGATGTCATTCCATGTCCTTTCCAGGAAATGTTTTTTACTTCTTTTACATATATTGCTGTCGACTTGCTGTTTCAGGCCCTGGTCTTCTCCTGGGATGGCAGAGTGTCCCTGATGAACACTGCCACATCGCAGATTGTCTACTGCTTCAGTATTCCACCCTCTCACGTTGTAGCATCGCCCTGGCAGCCAGTGTTCATAGTGGATCATGTGAATTGGTGCTTGCTGCTTCGAGGTGGGTAGCACCTGGAAGTGGGCTTAGATACATGGGTGCCTTCAGCTGTGCACTGATCCTTGATAGTTCTTCTTCTGGGATGACTTCCGATGCAACAGTCCACTGTTCTTGTTTCTGGCTAGGAGATAAGCAGCAGCAGGCAGATGCATTGGGACAGAGCAGAGCCAGTCACAGCACCATCTTCCTTTTTGACTTCAACTCCTACCCACTGAAGGAGGCTTTCCCAAAGGAACCAGATTTGCCTCTCAAATCCTTGCAGAACCTGCCATGGATGGAGAGATGTAACATTTTCTTACGTGATAGGTAAGGTTCTCCTTCTGCCTGTTAGCTAAGTGCACCTGCATTACTGCAAGCTGTGGTGTTGCTCAGGTCCATGCAAGGTCTCACCCTGGAACTTCTGGGTTCTTCTGTGTGTGCTGTGACAGATTTATGTCTGGTTAAGGTTGCTGTTCATGTAGTTGGATTGCTGACAGCCACCCAGAACCCTTCCTCCTCTCCATTCTGTCCTTCCTAGAACAAGTTAACAGCTGTAAATCAGGATGCCTGGGGCAGGCTTGTCATTCCAGGTGGAGAGGGCTTGCTGGTTCTGATGTGCTTTTGTGCAAAGCAAGATTGTGCAAGCTTCTCAGGCAACACAATCCTCACTTAAGTGTCTGCGACTTCCTTTTGAGCCCATAGCCAGGCAGAGCTGGGATCTCTTTGCACCTTTCTCCTCCCCTCCATTCTAGCTTCATTTGATGTTTAAGTAGATTTGTGTTGGAGATTTCTCGGTTTGAGGAGGTACCCAGCACCCTCAGGCCGAGGTTGCAGTTTAGCTGATGCATTGAGTCCATGCCGTCACTAGATGGCAATGTGACATCTCTTATTCTGCAACCTTTCCCTTGAATTACTCCTTTTGGGAACCTGGAACCAGATCCGTGCCACTGACACTCCGTTTGTTCTTTCCACTCTGCCTTAATTCTCCAATTTGAAATGGAACAGGTGGGGGCAGGTATGACCTTACAGTACATATTTCCTTATAGCCTTCCCTAATTCCTTGTCTCCAGGGTGAATCCTGTGGTGTTGTCTCACTAGTTAAGTGCAGAAAAGTTTTGTCCTATGCTACCAGTTCTGTCCCTCCTTCTCATAAGACTGGAGAGAAGACTCTTGCCTGCTTTATACCAGAAAAACTGGGGAGACATCACCTCCAGGGATATCCTTCTCCCTGGGTACTGAGAGTAGAGCAAATATAACTGAAGTGAGACCTGTGTCTATAGAGGCTAACAGGCAAGGAGAATGGAGGTCATTGCTGCCAAAAGCAGTGAACTTGAGTGCTGAGCATGAGAGGGAATCACTGAGGTTTTTTGGACACAGGAAATCTGAGCTGCTTCATTTGTAGTGAGCCCCAGGGACCCTTGGGGGAATCAGGCTAAGGTTGTCTGAGCACTGGGGGAATGGCAGGGATTGTTTTAACCACCCTTTTCTTCCCTCGTTAGGCAGCAGAGCCTGCTGGGACTCAGGGAGCAGTTGCCTGAGTACTGGAGTCAGCTTCAGGCACAAGCTGCTGCCATGGACAAGGAGAGAGCGAAAGCGACGGGACAGAAGAAACCATAGTCAGCCTTGCATCCCGAGGACCAGGCTCTGCACTATCACAGTCCTGCAGACCCACGGTCCAGCACTGATACGTTGACAGCAACTCTATTCAAATCTATCCTGATGCTTTCCAGCCCGGGGCAATTTGTCACCTGGGATGGCTGCTTGCCTGCCACTGCTCAGGCACAATGATCTGTGCCTTGCCTCTCTCCTTGCCTAACCCTCAGCCTGTTCCAGCAGTGTTCAGGCCCTCCCCATCAAACACTGCTGATGGAAGAGGCCCAGCACCCATGTGGGTCAGCTAAGACGTTATGCTGGATCTCTGAGTCCTCCCAGAGACCTGGAGCATCAGAGCAGGATGGTATGTTACAATGTCTCTCCTTAATAAAGCCTTTTCTCCAGTAAATGTCTATTACTCTTCACAGGGCTGGCATTTTATCAGACTGTTGTTCTGTCCTTCTGTGGCTGGGGCTCCCCAGTGTGTCTCATCTTCTGCGGTGACCTGGATGAGCAGGCAGCAGCATCCTTGTGCTTAGCAAGAGACCTGGTCTTTTCCAACCAGGCAGAAAATTGGCCATGAAGGTGGCACCCTCAGAGCATAGCAGGGCCAAAGCAGGAGTGACACTGCAGTGTGTCAGGCTTGACCCAGGCTGTTCCTCAGTCTGGTTGTTTCTTTTGACTTCGAGGCACATTTTGGGTGAGACTACTTAGGAACTGAAGTCTGCAGATGTGCAGACAAGCTCACTGCAAGCAGGTCAGGCTAGAACTGGTGTTAGAGCCAAAAATTGTTTCCACTGAGGATCAGGTCAGATGCTGGGCGGGGTTTAGAGAAGTCAGGGCTGTGCTGAGCCAAAGACAGGCCAGGAGCATGGCCAGCATGTTGGTCAAAGGCCATAAAAGCTGAAGCACCCCTCCTATGGGCAACCCAGAACAAAGAACTAGCAGGGGCAGTGCAAGGCCCAGCTACAAACACGCATGTACTTGTTTCTTACTGCAGAAGTGTGTTGTTACCCTGTATACCTGACCGATGGGGCAATAAACTATGCAGGGTCTCCAGTCAGTCTTTCACTGGTCATCATTTTCAGGCCTGTTGTCCCATGGCAGCCTCGAGACTTTAGCTGCAGCGTTTGGTTGCTCAGCTGGGGGTTGTCAGCATAACTGCATTTTGCACTGAGCATCTTTGCTGCTCCTCAGACAGCCAGGGGCCCTCTGGAACGGAGGGGCTTTAGGAGAGGGGACCCAAACCATCCATTCTTGAGCACAGCAAACATATGCTTTCTTGAGCATCAAAACAACGAGCAAGCCTCAGTCTTTTTACAGCTGATTGTGCTTCCAAGGTGACTGCCTAATCCACGAAGAATCTGACAAATCTGCCAGCAACCACTCTGATCTGTGTGCATGAGCGAGCCGTATTTTTTCCAGGTCTCTCTCTAACTACGCCCCGCGCCCCTCCCCCCGAAGTTCAGTAGAGCATCAGTGCAGGGTTCCAGGGGTTCAGCACAGACTGAGTTACGTAGACACTCCCACACCATGGTCCTCTTTCAGTTTTTCATAGCAAGTTGTCTTAGTTTGGACTGAGTTTTGATGAGATATCTCAGCTCACCCTCTGGAAATAAAGGCAACCAGTCTGTAGTGGAGGTAGGAAAGGGAAGAAGCATTCCACTTGTTTCATAGTTTCCTATGCCTGGTTTTGCTCTGAAGAAACACAAGCTATTTGAATTAAACCCTCCTATTTGCTATCTTTATGAAGGGCTTTGAGGACCATAGTAAAGCCTTTTGTGGTGTCATTTTCCATCTGCCACAGATTACAGCTTCACAGCTCATCTGGTTGTTACGGGTATTGATACTGGGTTGTGGGAGCACTTGCCATCTGCTTCTGTGCAAAGTCAAGCGGGTTAGCCCGAACCATCTCCAATGCCTGTTTAAACTGAGCCACCCGGTTCCGCACTGAAGTGAACAAGGAGCAATCCTTGACCCTTTCTCCTGTTCTTATTGTGGCGGCAATAACAATTATTTTCTTTCTGTGGTAGTTTAAGAAACAATGGACTTTCTGTCACAACTGGCCACGGTGGGATTACTCAGGACAGGAATTGCTATTCCTGCATTGTTTTCCATGCTGCAGGGAGCCAGCACAACTAATACGTGGCCCCTTGAACTTCACTGGGTCTAATTCTTGCTATTTGTGCAAATGTAAAGAGCTTGGGGATCTATGCCCTTAATCCTATCCCATCTGCTTTCCACCAAGAAGAGAGGAGCAGGGCTTGCCTAGCATCAGAAGAACAGGCAGAACAGGATCTGCTAAACAGCTAGATGTACTGTGCATCCACCAGTTTGTGTGTATTCATCTCAAGATGTGCTTGTTTGTTTGCAGTTTGAATTTGCTCTAAAACCCTAATCATGTGCTTGGCCAAGATAACCAGGAGCTGGCAGGCTCCACAGAGAAAGGAAAACAGCAAGCAGCTGCAGGAGGCTGATGAAGAGCCTTTGTTTTTACTCATGACTTCAGCAGGGGACCGTTTGTTTCCTGCTTCTTCGAAGGAATACAGAAAAATCGGTATGATGGGTGTGTGGACGTGTGCTGGTGGTGGAGCTCAGTGCCTAGCTCCACAGCATGTTTTGGAGAGGGCCAGCAGCACCTGATTGCTTATTCCAAAGATGATGCCCTTGCTAGCTATTCTTCCATTCCCGGCGACTCTGTGAGCCCTAGGCAGCTGGAGGTCTGAGCCAGTTTGAGCTCTTCTGCTGCTATAGAAAGGCCTTGAGCAGTATGATAAATATCACCATCAAAAGATGAAACTGTAAGAGTTCTGGCTGGGCCAGCTCTTAGCTCAGTGCCAAGTTCAGTGAATGCAGAGGTGCCACCTGGGTATATTAGGAGCAATTTGTATTTAAAAAACCCAAACCACAAAACCCACTTGGTGGATCGAAGAGGATTGTGAGAGGGAGGAAGAGGAGCTCAGATCCACAGCGAGGCGCTCGAGCAGCATCGTTCCAGCGGAGCCGGTTACTGCCTGGCCATGCGGAGATGGTCTCTGTGGGAGAGGAGGCTGGTCTTTAATCTCATTAAATTATCTGCTGTTCTCTGCAAGAAGCCAGATGTCATCCGACTTCTTTGCATACTTGCTTGCGCTTTTGGAAGCAGAGGAAATTGGAGGCTGATCTGATAAGGTTCCCCCACACCCGAGGGCCAGCAAAGACTCGGGCTGTTTGGGCAAGCCACATCTGTGCTGTTGGAAGGAGCATGGCCCGCAGAAGAGCCGAAGCATTGCGTGCTCTGGGAGCTGCACTCCTTGCATTCGTGATACAACAGCCCATACAACCCCTAGTGCCTTGCCATATACAACCTGAAGCCATCCTAGGGAGGAATCTGCAAAGACTTCTGTGTGCTATCTGGGCAAGTAATGCTCCTGCAAGACATTGTAGGAATGCTGGAGGGAACTTTTTACAAGGGCCTGTAGTGACAGGACAAGGGGGAATGGGGTTAAATTGAAAGCGGGGAGGTTTAGATTGGACATCAGAAAGAAGTTCTTCACGGAGAGGGTGGGGAGGCACTGGGACAGGTTGCCCAGAGATGTTGTGGATGCCCCATCCCTGGGAGTGTCCAAGGCCAGGCTGGATGAGGCTTGGAGCAACCTGGTCTATTGGAAGGTGTCCCTGCCCATGGCAGGGGGGTTGGAACTAGATGATCTTTAAAGTCCCGTCCCACCCAAACCATTCTGTGATTTTGTGACTCCACTCTATGCGTTGTGCCTAAGGCAGGGCAGTCCCAGCCACTGCTTGCTTTGCTTGCTCTGCAAGTAGCGGCATACTTGGGTGTAGGGGCATCACAAGGCCAAGCTTCTGACCCTGCTCTACAAATCTGTGTCTAGATATATGTGAACCAGGTACTGTTTACTATTTCTAATTGCTCAAATGCTCTCGTTGTCCAAGTTAGCATTGCCTCAGTACCTCTAATGCCAGTTGCCTGTACCAGGGTGCAGTTTCTTGTCTTCCTTTGGGTCCAGGCTATAACTGTTGAGTTGTGCTGTTCAGCCAAGCTATGCAGATTAATTCTTTCAGTCTTCCTTAATGCATTGTGCCAGGCATCTCAGTCTGGTTTAATGTGGGTTTTGCAAATCCCTTCCAGTTCGTGGTTGTTTCTGTTCCCGTTTGTGGTTGTCTGGTGTTTCTGGTACTGCTCTCTCTAGGACCTGGCACAATATTCACGTGTGGTCACTCACAGGGCAAAGGGAGCCTGGTTCAACTGGCCTTCATACCTGATTTTGCAAGAGCAGGACCATTGGCTGGGATGAGAAATGAGCTGTGCTTTGAGGCCAAAATACAGGAGGAAGCTGGCTGAGCCTAGGTGGGGGTGCTAGAGAGATAAGAGATCTGCATGATGACTAGGGTGATGCTGTGTTTTGGCCATCGCCCCGTGGATTTACAGGCACTTTATACGGCTGAAGACAGACAGGGCTCCTGCTGTGGAGAACTCGCATCCTATGTAGGCCAAGTGCTGGGGCTGGGGTGTAACGCAACAGACTGGTCGTGCATTAGGGGAGGATTTGTCATCGCAACAGCCAGGTCTTGACGTGGCACACCTCTGCGATGTGTCGGCTTGGCCCCAGGAAAGCCCATGCTTGAAGAGGGAGGGAAGGGGAATGACTCATGTCACTGCAGGGCTGCTGATGAGGCAGGAGGAAAATGTACAGTATCTGAATGGCAAATTGGCCTGGGCTGCCAAGTGTGAAACACTTTGGCCTTCTCGAGTGCGTCAGGCTGAACGGCTCGTTTCGTTAGAAACTTCATGTCAGCCCGCTTGAGCAAACGGCAGCATGTGAAGGGCTGGATCGTTCTTGGGGGGAGAGGGAATAGGTGTGTGGGGATATGCACAGGAGGTGGAAGTCTGTAGGGGGAGAAAAACAAGTCACGCACTGAGCAGTGAGGAAGAAAACACTAATTAGGCAAGGAAGAGGAACCTGTCAGGTTACAATCCTGACCTAACAACCAATTAGAGGATAATATAGCACAGTAATACAGGG